GATGTGTTGGATTTTCAACTGCCTGAATAAAAATAAACATGAGGACATAAAGCACAGCAACTTCTCACAGAAATACAAAGTATAACACTGCAGTTTTGACTCTGAACATTAGAAGGTGGATAATCATACATTTAGTTGATGTCTGTACATGTACAGAGACTGCCACTAGTACCTGTTCAACAGAAGAGCAAGTGCACCTTCAAACCATTCTGAGTGGTGCTCAAAGTTGAAAATGCAAACACCTTTGCCAGGGACCAAACCCACTTTATCCTATCCAGAACTAGTTTCCTAATTCAGATCTCTATAACAGCATTACAATGAGTGTATAGAATTTGGCATAAAATGTCAGTTGGAAAATCTGATCACCTGGAGATCCAAGCATAGATGGAAGAATAATATTAAAGTGGATCTTAAAGAAATAAGAGTGTGGACTGGATTAATGTGGCTCAGAATAAGGCCTAATGGTGGTAATGCTGGGATATTGTGATCATGGTAATAAAGTTCTATTCTAGATAGAAAATTTCTTGGCTAGCTAAGCAATTCTCAGATTCTCAAGAAATATTTTTCTGCATGGAGACAGTTAATTAGAATTTTCTGCCTTATGAACTTCTTGATGATTACAGCAGGCTTAGCTGCCTTTTGCGATCAATACAGTTGTGTTCTGTCTTATATTTGAAGTTCTAAAGGCACAAAATAAAATTCTTGATTTTGATTCATATAATTCTGTTGTATTACCTTTAAATTATGAAGTAACTCTATGGGGCAGAGTCCTTCATGAGAAGAATTTCCAACCTTCATAGAACCTTTAGGTTCATTACCATATTGACAAAAATTTGCTATTAGACACTCCTGAGCCACTTGCATCCTCGCCATGCTCTCACATCCTATTTCTTCAAGATAACGGATTAACAGAACAAAATGACGTTAATATGAATGAGGAAGTTTTCATCTTTACCCATTTGAAACATTAATCAAATGCTGTGTACCAAATTAGATTGAAAAGTTTTACTTTCTATCTCCAGTACATGACAGAAAAGAACACTTCTTGCAGTAAGAAAAAAATTGACAGTGGAACCATGGTTCCGGAGAATTTGACGTAAATACATCTATACGGAAAGGAAGTTTATATATTGGCTTTATTCTAAATATTTCCTTTATACATGCTTTACAATTGAGTAAAGTTTGATTAAGACTTTGCTTATTTAACTTGAATTAGTTACGCTTAAGATGGGTCTGTGGTAGCTGAATGTAATGTAAAGTAATGTAATGAAATGTAATGTAAGGTAAGGTAAGGTAACGTACTGAAATGTTTTATAGGTAACAACAATGCCGAGTAAACAATTGACGTTTCCAAGGTAACATAACACTGCAGTTACACTTTTCCGTTCCACTTTTTGCCGAATGACACTGACCCTATGCTAGGAAATTCTAAATTCAAACAGATACATATTTCAACATTATTTGGTTAAAAATACAATGAAAACATGCCAGAGGATTAATAGTTCCTGTAAAACAGGAAGCAACAACAAAAGCAATCAGGGGCTTGTTTTCGCTGAAGAAAAGGTCACTCGTATAATTTGTTATAGTTCATGTCATGATGTTGCAGAACATACTGACTTAGGATCTAGGATCTGGCTGCCTCATAATGCACTTACCAAATTCATGGCAGCCATTTTGTGATTTGGTGGGTCGCTCAGAAAAAAAATCACTGTGTATGTCAAAAGTCAATATCTGAATGTAATAAAAATCCTAGTGCATCACCAAGTTTTTCAGGACACGTATACAAGGCTGTAATAACTACATAACAAAACTGAATGGATATCAAAATGACTTATAACAATCAGACTAGCACTAACACGGAAGTTAAAAAAGAACAGCTGCAAAATAATTTTTCACAGCAAAAAGAATACTCTAAATGAAGGTACTGACCCTTTACAAAGGAAAGGTAATAACAATATGGGCAGCATGTATAGCTGCTCAAATGAGAGAAAGGGAAATTTTAGGGTTATGATGACCACCTACCAACCCAGTACAGCTATAATAAGAAATTTATGCCACTGTAGATGATACATTAAATATGTCCAGTACTTATGTTATTCAGTGTTCAATTACAGTAACTTATACCACCGGTAATGATGCGAGTACATAATGATTGGGTATATATAATATTGTACATATACTATCATGCAAACATTATCATTCTACCACTTGCCATTTTTATTCAACAGACTGTACATGAAACAACTACCTTCTCTGTTGCTTCTGCCTCCTCCCTTACCCAGGTAGACCCCACAAGTAGATATAAACAGACATCAGTGCTCCCAGCCCCAATCAGCAATCATTCATTGGCTGACCAAGAGATATATTCTTTCATACCAATTGTTAAGCTTCATAGTAAATTTGTTGTTAAGGATACATGCCTTCTCTTTAGGAATCCTTCTTCCTTCGGCCAATGTCTTCTTGCTGTTTATATATGCTGGATAAATGCAAATCCATCTGTAATAAAAAATAACTCTAACAAATGTTCAAATTACAGTATTCCTTATTCCTTGGAGCCACATTTAAAACTAATTTTATACACAGGCAGATGTAAGCAATACACTGTGTACCAGACTTGGGGAGATCAGTCAAGTGAGTTGGGAATGCACAATCATTGAAGGAGAAGTGTTGCAAAACAGTTGCCATGCTTTATTATATGGA